GTACTAGTGCACAACACAAAATTCATTCTGCTCATGGGGGAAAACTCTTAGGTGACTTCTTGCGCAAGAACATCTTGTGCAAGGGTTCTTATGCAAGAAATCTTGTGCAAGAACACTGTCATGTGGGAGCTGTGCTTTTGTGCAAGAGCATCCTTGGCAGTGTGGACGCTCTCTTGTGCAAGAAAGCTCTGATGGCCATTTTAGCCATCGGGCTTCCCTGCCCAAGAAACCCCTGCCGCGCGTCCACATTGCCCTCTTGGGCAAGAGAGCTTACACCTGTTAGAAAAGAGCATAGCTCTTGCGCAAGAAGCTCTTTCTTACCACACCTTACTGTAAATTTTCTTGTTCAAGAGCAGGCAGGCCATGTGGGTGCTCTGCAGAAGAATGGGTGTTCTTGTGCAAGAAGCCGTGAGTGTAGATGTAGCCTTCCTTGCTTAGGGTGGCTGCAGCAAGAACACCCATTCTTGGAATGTGGAAGAGGGTGGGATAGAAAAGTGGGTAGCAACACTTCATAAATTAGGACTCAGCAGGCCATTTCCTTAGAAACAGTAACTCCTGAGCCTTGTATACACTGGGAACGTGCCTCCATTCTTGCCACTGGAGCGGATGCACCAGTGAAGATCCTTAGCGTAGTTGGGGTAAAAACTGTGTTAAACTGCGAATTGCACTAGAGCAGCTCATTTTAATTCCAACCCAGGGTTAGTCTCGTCCGTGCTTTTACCTGTGTGCACTACGGGTTTTCACTCATGGCTGGAATCGGGCTAAATGCCAAATCCCTCATTCTCTTCACTGATTTCCTTATTTTCCAGCACTCCCTATTAGATGAAGCCCATTTGTCAGGACACAGTTCTGAGACAGAGGCTCTATCTGATATTCAACCGAACCAGCACAGAAGAAGAGAGAAAATCTCTCTCCATTCTAAATGAATGAGATGGTCTGAACCCAAAACCAGATATGGCCAGGCCTGACGTTTGAGTCCAAATCTGAAATGGGCAGCTGGGACTAAGACAAATGAGCCATCTAAGTTTGCTGGACTTTACCTTTCAAGCACATTAGGTGGCGCTCGCCTTCCAAGAGAGAGACCACTTATCTCTCAGCACTGCTCATGCTTCCTCAGGGACCTTTGAAAATCTGGAGTCTGTTTTTTTACAGACAGTTGGTCCGTTCACTGCTTTTTGCACTGTACCGGCTGGAGTGTGCATAAACATTTCCTCCGCAGGTATCAGATCAACAGCGAGCTAGAGGGAATGTTTCCAAAGAGTAGAATGGCATCCCAAGAGAAACAGGGAACATTCTGATCTTGACGCAGGCACTCAAATCTTCTCACAACCTATCACCCTAAAGATTTTCTCCCCTGCATTTCAGCATCTCTCCGTACCTGCCCTTGAATTCTACTGTTTCTAATAGTCAAATCATTCCCACCAACTGCAACTAGGGTTTTAGTATACCAATTCTTGTAGAAGGTTCTTTAGTGTCAAATTCTCTTCAATAGACAGAGGAGGAGGGATGCAGGGAATTGAGGAAACAGGAAGAGAGGTGGTGAACTTCTATGAATGGAAGGAAGCCTATAAATAGAACTCCTCCCACCCCACTTCTCCCATCTACAGGAATCTGCTTTTGGCCTAGATCTTAGAACTGACACTTGTATGAGGAATGCTATAAACATTCCTTTGCAGTTGTTGGCTGGGTTTTTTGCAGCTCCCGGAATTAAAGTAGTGAGCTGGCTCTGTTCCTTTTACTCTTCTTTGTTTTGCTGTTGTAAACCATTGCTACACAGGAGCAAAGATCAGCCCTCTCTCTGTGGAGCCATCTCTGCTAGGGAGGTGCAGGTTTGGTTAAGAGATCACATTTTGAAGGACAGATCTACTATCGCATTTGGCTTAGTTCAATGTTGTGTCTTGTAGCAGGAGGCAATTCTTAGCGTACAGGCCTGCTGCGCACACCCAGGTCAGCCCAATCTTAGCGTGATGCCTGCCGAGGAATCTGCACGACAAATATGTTGTAAATTGCCACCCTGTTCTGTCAACTCCTGAGTTTTCTCCTGAATTGCTTAGCTTATGTGCCCACGCTGCCCAGCCTTACTAACCAGTTAAAGAACAGTATGTTTAGCCAAAAGGATCCAAGCAAGTCTGTACCTTTATGCTACCTCTCCAGCACAGACTACGTGCAGGATTCATTGACTCGCAAGGTCAGACCAGAGACTATCTTTAGAATAATGTTTGTTCTGGCAGTCACTGAGAAGATAGTGCTGTGCTCTTCCACAAAAAGCATTAAAGGTACTGGGATGTATCAGTTCCAGAAACACATACGTCTGGGTAAGAAACATGTTAGTCAGGACTTCTTCTTTGAGGGTAGGAATTGCAACAGCCAAGCTGGCATCTCTGTAGCTTCAAAGGGTAGCAGTTCACAGTGAAAAGCTGTTCAGTTATAATCCCCAGCTCTCTTATCACTTTTCATCCAGAGCTGTCAAAACACTTATGCATCGTTGTTGCTATTTGAGCAATGGGGAAGCTCAAGCTCAGTGTGGTGAAATGATTTGCTCAGTATCACCCAACAGGCCAGTGGCAGAGTTAGGAAGAGAATACAGGTTGTCGCAAAGCTCTGGCCATGCCCTGAGGGTCTATCCTTCCTGGCAGTTAGTGTTTGCCTCAGAGGCTCACCTAAGGGTGTTAGTGTTTGCCTAAGGGCCTCCACACAGCCTCTGGCCCTTTACTAGAGGCAAAAGTTACAGCCTGCTGAGCCAGCCTCATCATAGGCTAGCCCATAGTTTGGGGCAAAACTTTTCTGTAGTCCTGTCCCCTCTCTCAGGGCAGACTCTGTAGTGGTGTGGGAAGGGTTGGGGGAAACGCAGGCCCGCCCACTACTCCAGGTTCTGTCCAGAAACCTTAAGGCAGTAGTAATTGGCAGTGTTTCTCCCACTCCTTGTCTTGCAGCCTTTCTTTGAGCCACTTTCCAAAACGATCCCTCCCAGTATCTTCTCCCTAGTACCTGAGCAATCCTTCCTGCTCCTCCTCAGCCCTCTTCTACACTCCTAGTCCTTTGCTCTCAGTGCACCTCTTCACTCTCAGTCCTTGGCCTCCTGAGGGGAACCCTTTTAAACTGGCCTCAGCAGGCCTTAATTGGCTGCTGGGGCCCTGATTAGTCTGCTGCTTTAGGCAAGCTCTTAATTGGCCCCAACTGCCTGCCTGCCTTGATTATGTGGTTGCAGTGCCTGGCCAGTTCACTCATGGAATAGAAACCCATTTGCCCAGTTTTCTGTATATTTGTCCTCCACCAAGCTACTGTAATGAGTTATCCTGGGTCTGTCACAAAGTCAATCAAGTCCTAGTCTTAATGTCTAGGCTCGCAATAAAGTAATGGCTTCTCTGCTCGCTATAAAGTAATTGGTAGTATTTGATTATTTGCGGTGCCAGAGTGCCCAAGGAGCACTAGGTTTGGACAAGCACCCATTGTGCTAGGTACTGTACAAACACAGATGGTACCTGTCCCTAAAGAGCTTATACTTATAGTCTCAGTAGACTATTGTTTTTTCTGAATACCCCAGATGGTCTTGAAAAACTTTCCAAGCTTGGGCCACTGATGGGATCGACATAATTAGTGGCTTTCTCCTTGAGATGCCTGCGCTGAGAAATAATAAGACAATCATCCATTCTTTCTCTAATTCAGTGATGAAAATCCCAACACAATGTGTGTTTGGTTTTTTTAAATTACTATATGTGCACAAGCCAAACATGTTCATAGAAGCCATCATGGTAGCAGCAGGGATGTAGTGACTGTGTAGCAGCCTCTTAACACTAGACCCTGTCCTGGCTCGTGTCTTTTCACCTTGAAATTGTACCACAAACCTCTGTCAGCCGACGGTCAGGGCAGTGTGTGTGTGTGTGTGTGTGTGTTACACCCGAGTCTTTAATGTCCATGCCTTTACCGCTAGGACCGGGGTCTCATCGCGGAGGGCAGCCAACAGGCTGATAGACACCCCAGAAGTTTATAGGAAGAGCTTATTACATCTCAGATTTCAGCTGCTAGGATACAGAATCCCTACGCAGTGGGCAGTCTAGGGAAGACTGAGAGATGCCCCAATGGATCTGTCACCTGGGAGTGGCACGATCCAAACGCCCAAGCTCTTCCTATACTTGTCCCTTATGACTGGCTGAAGTTCTTTTAAATTGTGCTTGGTTCTGTTACAGCAACTGAAGGAGTCAGGTTAAAACTTAAACAGTTACAGGTTTATTAAAAAGACTTATAAAGCATATGGTTACAATGGCTATTGCTCTCTTTCTTAACTGCTAGCAAATACAGATCTTATGGTTATAATGGCTATTGCTCTATTTCTTAACTGCTAGCAAATACAGATCTTAAAAATGGTTACAAAGAAAATATAGAAAATAGAAATAATGGTACCAAGTGACAGCTTAATCTTTAAAGAGCTCTAAGTCTACGTGTACACTTAAGACAAAGGACACATCCAGGTACAATTTTTACCCCCTTCTGTGCCTCTCGACTCCAGTGGGTCAAGCCAGGGCTGGTCCCTCAATTCCTAGGAAAGACGAATGCGAGGTGGGCATCCCCGTGGAATCTCGGGAGGTCAAACACCTAACCCAACCAGCAGATAGATGGTAGATTGACACTCAGAGTAAATGTGCTGCTGGACCCATCTTTATACCCCTGGGAGCCCGTATCCTCTTTCTTATCTTAAGATGCCAAATTGTACTGGTCCGTTTCTGTGGCGCCAGTTCTTACAAGCAAGTTTCAACTTAATTTACACTTGCAAGAGAGATAGCTAAATTGTGAGTACTAGACATTTTTTTTACTGGGCGAGAGTTTCCTCCCCCCCGCGGACGGCTGTGTGTTCGTATCAATATGGAATTTAGTCAAGGGCACTCCTTGGCAGCCTCTTGGTCAGCAATTGGCATATCTCTGTTTACAGCCATTCACGGTCACAGCAGCCTGCCATATCCGGGCCTTCTGTTCTGTGTGCCCTGCATGCTCCAGGCAAGCAAAAATGGATGTTACAGGGGCGTTCCTGTCTGGCTACAACCTCCTAATCTGTTCTGTACAGAACCAAGCCCTAAGCTAGAGCAGAGGGATACCCTAGTGTGTATGACATTGGTTGGGGAACACAGGAGACTGGGTTTAATCCATGGTGTAACCTTTTGGCCAAATCACTTGGGGCTTGACTTTCAGGAGTTCAGCTGCCATTTAAGCACCAAACTAAGCCATGTGCACTGTCCTTCTTCAAAAGGGCAAGTCAAGGAAGGAGCTGTAGCTATGAAAAGTGCCTTGAGTCTCAGTGATTTTCATTTGCTCAGTTTACAAAGTGTGTATTCTAACTGCCACCCTCAGCTCAAAGAGTCAAGTTGATTCTTTTCCATCATGCGCGTGACCACTAGGATTAAAGATTCCTCAAGATTAGTTTGGCCTTTGTGACACTTGTGCAATCAGAAAGGAAGGACTGTTGTGTGTTAAAGCATTGACCTGGCACTTCTCAGTACCCAAGGTCAGTTCCTGGCTCGGTCATCAGCATTCTGTGGCCTTGTGCAATTCTGTGTGTCTCAAGTCCCCACTCCTCTTTTGTAAAATGAAGAGGATTCCTTTCTCCCACCTTGTGTCCAGCTTGTCTGTGTCTAGGGACAGTCTTGCTGTGTTTGTAGAGGGTCGAGCACAATGAGGCCTTGATATCAAAAAGAGTTTCTGCCAGCAGCTGTAATACAAATGCTCACTACAAACGCCTGCAGTGAATTGTCTCCCTGCCATTGGTTGTGCTCCCTTTGTGCGTCGTTGTTGTGTTGCTCAGCAGATCTGGGAAGCTGACACTTGTTTCATTTAATAGATGTCTCTTTGAAATACATTCTTCGCTGATTTTTTTTTCTAGTAGAGCTTGCAACTACGAGGAGAAATGCACAGTGAAATGGTAGTCTTCTCAGCCTTGAGAATGTATTTAAGATCCTATTTCATGTGGCGGAATGCCGGATTTGAATCCAAGCAGGTGAGTGTGACCAAAAATCTGGATGCACAGTGGCATGTGTCAGATGAAGTAAGGGCCTCTCTCCCATTCCTAGTGGACAATAGTCCACCCCCCAGAAGCCACTGTTACAACTGACACTAAGGCCTAAGCCATGTCTATGCTCCTGAACCTCGGGGGCTGAGACACACAGTCGGGACACTGCATGGAGACCTTGCACTGCTGATTCCTGAGTGGAGGAAAAGAGTCTGTCGCCCCAGAGCACTGCGTCAGGGCAGCCGCTTTCGCCAGCAGCCAGGCTTACTTCAAACAAAACAAAACCCGAACTGTGGTGGTGGTTTTACCAGCTTTCCCCAGCAGAGGGAACAGTAAGAAGTTGAATGAGTGAACGTAAGTGAACTAGCAAGTGAATAAGCTCCTGCAAACCTAGCAAATTCCACTTGCCCCTTCTCCCTCTCATTTGTCACTTCTCAGTGGCACTCTAGCCACTTGTGTCTGTGTTAACTCTCTGAGAGCTGAGCTGAGATTCTTCTCCCACTGCCCCCCAACCCAGAAAACTCTGCTTCTCTCCCATCCATGCTCACCAGGACCAGGTCACTTCTGTTTCTTGCATCTGCTGTCCATTTCAGTTCTGCTGCTGTCCTGCTGTTCTGCATCCAACTCAGTTCCTTCAGCCCTGCATTCTCAACAGATTCATTGTTCAAGGCCACTGGTTCCTACCATGGCAGGTCTGACAGCTGTAACACAGAGGCAAGCAGGTGGCATTTAATGCTGAAGAAGCATGTTTCTGGGGATAGGGGATTTAATCAAAGCAAGAGTTGTGACCTACTCCATTAGGCCACTGTTGAAACCATCATTGTCATATTAGCCCCCATCATATTAGCACTGCAGAAAGCCTTTCCAGTGCCCAAAGTGGTGCATAGACATAAGAGGAAATTGACTATGTCCACACTGGAGGGTTTGGTGACACAAGTGCTGTCAACATGCAAAAGTCGCCAAAAGTGAAAACTGGTCAAACTGTTTTTTCTGCCTGCCATTGTCAACATTTCATTGCCACATTGGTAGCACCCTGTTGACAAAACCAAACAGTGTGAGTAAGCTCCCCACTGTACAGTGTTGTGGTAAGGCAGGGCTAATCCCTGTGCTTCTTAGGATTCCCTTGCAGCTCTCTGACGAGGAATGTCAAAGCAGCACAACTGTCTCTTTAGCCTTTCCCCAGAAGCACCAGTCTGCCTGCCACTGTGTTCCTAGCAAGGCAGGACAGGAGCATTCCAAAGATTTGTTCTTTGTTCCCCAAACAGAGCAGCTCACTTGGTTGTCAGATACTTCTCAGAGCTTTGAAAGGGGAGGGGTGCATGCCTGCAGGGCAGAAGAGAACACAAAACACTGAGCACAGCCATCAGGGTAGGCATTGTGGTGAGAATTATTTTTCTGCGTGTTTTTTACCTGAGGCCTATTTTACCCTGCCTTCTCTGATTTTATGGAGGAGTCCCTGGACTTGAGAACTGGACTGGGAACTTTCCCTAACTTCAGCTGAAAGGCCATGTATGAAAGGCCAGAGCTGTTCTCCCTTACTGTTTGTCAGAGATTTGAGTTAAATAGGACTTAGCCAAAAAACAAAAAACAAAAAAAACCCAAAGTGTTTTAAAAAGTCTGGATAAAAAAAACCCCCTTCTCCCCACCAGTCACCTCAAAAGGAACAATGGCAAAGTGGTTATGACACTAACCTGGGACTTGAGATGTCAATTATGTATTTTGCAACAGACTCGGGCAAGTTCTTTTAGTTTTTCTGTGTCTCAGGTCCACATCTGTAATGTTGGAATAATAGTACCTCTGCTGCTTTGCTCTGAAAAAGAAAACCATTTGTAAAGCTACCAGTGTGGAGGTTTGATGGAAGAAACTAAACTAGCTCCCAATCTGAATTTTCAAGGGCTTGTCCTTGCTGCAGAGTTAACTTCATTTATGACCTGTGGGTTGCCCCTAACTTGAGTCCCATTGACACAGAGAAACTCAGTAATGTCTTTCACTGCCATTGGCAGGCCCAATAGAGGGGAATGGGCTAAAGCAGTGTTTCTTAAATTTTTTAAGACCAAAGAACACCAAACAATATTTTTTTTATGGGGAACACCAAGGATTTTTTGTGGGGGGGGAGGGGAGTCAGAGAGGAGGGGGGGAGGGGAGGGGGGGGAAAGTTATTGAGCCAAAAAAAAAAGTTGCTTTCTCCTTAAACTCCCCACCTCTACTCAGGACCAAATCCACACAGACACACCTTCTCAACCCTGACCAGGATTGTTCTATCTGCTTCCCAAAATCCATAAACCTGGGGTCCCCGGACACCCCATCATCTCAGGTATCGGCATGCTCACTACTGGATTATCCAGCTATGTAGACTCTCTTCCCAAACCCTACGCAACCAACACCCACAGCTATCTCCAAGATACTACTGACTTCCTGAGAAAACTACAAAACATCAATAACCTCCCTGATAATGCCATCCTTGCTACCATGGATGTAAAAGCTCTCTACACCAATATTCCACATGAAGACCGATTACAAGCAATTAGAAACACTATCCCAGAGGATACCACTGCCAATCTGGTAACAGACCTGTGTAACTTTTGTTCTCACCCACAATTATTTCCAATTTGGTGACAACTTATACCTCCAGATCAGCAGCATAGCCATGGGTACCCACATGGCCCCACAGTACGCTAACATCTTTATGGCTGACTTAGAACGTTTCCTCAGATCCCATCCCCTTTTACCCCTTCTCTACTTACGCTACATCGATGACATCTTTATGATCTGGACCATGGCCAAGAAACACTGGATACATTCCACAGAGACTTTAACAACCTACACCCCACCATCAATCTCAGCCTGGACCATTCTACACGAGAGATCCATTTCCTGGACACCACAGTACAAATCACTAATGGCAAATTAGACACCACTCACTACAGAAAACCCACTGACTCCTACAGTTACCTACATGCCTCCAGCTCCCATCCAGAACACACCATACGATCCATCATCTATAGCCAAGCCCTTCGATACAATCGCATCTGCTCTAACACCACTGACAGAGGCCAGAAACTTCAGGATCTCTACCAAGCATTTATAAACCTCAATTACCCACCCAGAGAAATAAAAAAAACAAATTGAAAGAGCCAAACTAATACCCAGAAACCATCTACTTTAAGACAGACCCAGGAAAACCAACAATAGAACACCACTTGTCATCACCTATAGCCCCCAACTTAAACC